AAAGAGAAGAGAACTTGATGAAGGCACGAGACTAACATCATAGCTGGATAGTGACCGACTCAGAGTGGTAGCAAGATGAGCATGGTACTCAAAACCAGCATGATGGCAATAATACTCAAACTGAGGTGGATATGACCGTCCTAATCTTGTGTGGCAGTAAGACGCCCATGGTACTCAAGATCAGCACGACAATAATACTACTCGACAACCAGACCGCTATGGCAGTGTTGGATTAAGTCAACCCTCAACCAACTAAGGAGAGAAGAGAATGAGAATAAGGCGCGAGGCGGTGAAGAGATGGGTTCCCGACGGCACTAAGCATCGCCACCCACAACCTTGGGGTAGCAGTGTCATGGCCCTTGGATGGCGCTAGACACTGCTACACACGGTTGGAGGGCGAGCAATGAACTACAGGTGGCACTAGGCATCGTCGTTAGTAACACGAGAAGGTAACACGCCCCATCACAGGCAGCAATAGCCTCTTGTGAAGCGAGGGGTGATAGCCCCTTGTGAAGCATGCGGTGATAGCCCATTGTCAAGCATGCGGCGATAGTTCCTTCTGAGGCACAAGGCGATAGGCATGGGACCCAAAAGAAACCTACCAATGACGATGGGCACTGAGTGCATGAAGGAGGCCTGCGGAAGGCGATGGGCACCGAGCGTGAGAAGGAAGCTCACGGAAGACGATAGGCACCGAGTGCGCGAAGGAAGCTCGTTGATGGTGATAGGAACCGAGCGCACAAAGGAAGCTCATGGACGGCGATAGGCATCGCCATCTACGATAGGCATCGCCATTTGCGATAGATGCCCAACAAGGGAAGACCTCTGTGGGTGGTAATAAGCTTTGCCGTCTGTGCTCCTCACTGAGAATTCAAGAACACATCTGCGGACGGCGATGAGCAGCGCCATCAGCAAACCTCGCTGAGAAATATAGATGAATGAAAAGGAGGGGAAAAACGTTCGTGCATGGTGCTGCCATCGCCATGCGTAACCTGTGATGCCACTGGAGCGGGAAAAAGAAAAGAAAGAGGCATGCACGACATTGGCACTGCCGTGCAGGGCCTCAGAGGGAGGCTCTGACGAAGAAGAAAGAGAAGAAGAGAGAGAAGAAGAAAGAGAAGACAAAAAGAAAAGAAAAGAAAATAAGAGAGAAAAAGATTTACCTAGAGCCTAGAGGTACCGTTTCAAAATTTTCTCTCTCCTTCCTCTCCCTCTCCAAACGTGACCCAACAATAAGAAGCAAGAGAAAAGTTTCTAAGCAAAGTTCTCTTTGGCGAAGGGTCTGCGTACAATGGTAGTACGTGTTATACATAGAGTTGTGCCCAAACGTGAGTGGATTGATCAAAATTAAAACTAATTACCAGAAATTAAAATTTAATTAAATTAAAAATTATTAGAAAATAGGGTGCAAAATGACTGATTTACCACTTCCTAACAATTTTTGGAATTCCAGAACAGTCCCTGTGCTGCCCTAGAATGTGCGTGATCATGGATGATCCGGGGTTGTTCTGATGCCAGTTTGATCGAAAGATAATTGTTCACTTGTAGGGATTGGCATGGCGATCGATTTGATAACAACTTCAAGCCACAGATCGTGTTTTTAGGCCACGATCATGCGACTTGAAATTTGGATGAATCTTGAAACTTCAGATCGATATTGTGCTCATTCCTTGATGTTTTTCTGTTATTTCTTCATTGGATCACACTGAGCATGTCATCATGATCGCATGGCAACAAACGTAGCTCGATTTTGTGTCTAGAGGAGGATTTTAAAACTTTGGAGTTTTTGCCGGAATCTTGGATTCCGGTGCCAGAATTTTAAGTCCCTTCTTCAGCTTCATGTGAGGAATCCGATCGTTCATCATGTATGGGATTCGAACTAAAGATTGTCTTGGACCTTACACACGTGATGAAACTTGTTTTACATCGATCGGGTTCTTGAGAGCCGTGATTTGACCGCTCGAGCGAGGCACAACGCTGCTGATTTATCTGCAACTTTCTTCACATATCAACAACTTCTCTCTAGTGTTTCTTCTCCATCAGGCGTCGTCATCAGACATACCACATATCAAAATGCTCGTCTTGACAAGATGAACATGCTTACAAAATTTGAGCATGATCCGACTCAAGATGGGTGAGATATGAGCATTGCAAGTCACTGTTCGTGACTGTTCCTTTAATGGAGCTTAGTTGCAGGGTGGCCGCACGGGAATAGTGTGTGGCTCCTCATATTTTGATCTTTTATCTATAACTTCTTCTTGGAACGTCCGTTTAAAATGAAATTTGACCCCTGGGGGTTCTCAATTGTGTCGAATCCAATGAAAGTGGTCCAATAGCAATTTGAGACACCGAAAATATAGTTCTAGTTATAGGGTCCGTTTCAGGGTGGGTTGATTCTGCTGAAATTGTTTCTTTGTCTACACTACTTTAGACATGTTGGATTGTGACGAAACTTAGCAGGAGGCCTTTTGAAGTGCTTATGAAGAATTTGACTAGTTTTGGGGCCATTTTGAAATAGTCGAAATTTCCACTGTTTGTTAGGATTTATAGACCAGCTTCTCCCTTTTATTCCGCATCGGGGACCCATGATGATGAAAACTGTCTTCTAACAATAGCACCTGAGAACCTTGAGGAGACATCACTTTGAATTTCAGTGGAGGGTGTTGGTCTTGCATGACAGTCATCCGCATTTTGGGAGCATCCTTGGCTTATCGGCGTGAGACTCTTGTTTTTGGTGAGTTCTTATAAATGAACTCTTTAGCATGGAATCCTTGTTAGCCGCCTTGTTGATTTTTATGACTTTGGGTACTTTTCAAGGATGGACCCATGATGTTGGAATTTTCTTAAGCTCTTTGTGGTTCCAATAGCATGGTACTGACTCGTAAACTACTAGGCTTTCCTTGTCTAGATTGCTGGCTAAAGCTGCCTGTGAAGGCGAGCGCTGCATCAACTTGCTTATTGGTTCAGATGCCCTTCCGGGTTTTCACCTGAACAGAGAGGGAAGTGGCACTGTAGAGTAGTATTCACCAACTTATTTTTTATTGGGCTCTTTTACCCTTGACATCTTGGTCACGTTTGCCTTTCTTTCCATTTTTAATCATGGTTCTATTGTGGGTTTTCACCATGCCCAGCTTTTTCTTTACAAAATGGTCTTACTCATGGTTTCATGACCATGCCCGTTTGTCATTTTTACTCACGACGCCCTTTCGGGTTTTTACCGTACCCGTTTCTCTTTCATTTTCTTTGAGAACTTTTACCCATGGTTTCATGACCATGTCTTCTCATTTTTATTTTCTACTATATATATATAAATAAATGGCAATGAATTGGTGGTGTTTGAATGATGATAAAAATGAACGGTGGTTTGCAAGTTAAAGATGGGAAATTGGGGTGGTTTGACCCACTGGTATAGGGGTGAGCTTTTGTGGGAAATGAATGGGATGGCAATGGAAGGTGAGACTCACTGGGGAATGGCATGAGTTTTTTATGAGGGATGAAAGGTTGATGGTGGAATATGTGATTCACTGGGGTAATGATTTGGGAGAGGGTGCTGCTTGCCTGAGGTTGGAACAAGTGTTTGGGTGATGAGGGTAATTTATTGGGGGATGGCGAATTTCACGCATGATGATGGGGATGATGAGGTGACAATGGTTTGATGGTGGATATGGAGGCGAAAGATGGGTTTGGGGTGGTTTGACCCATCAGGTAATTGAGAGTGGTGAGCAATGTGACTCACTGGGGATGATGAGCATGGATGTGCGTGATGAAGGGAATAATGAGGGTGAGGATGGTGTGACTCATTGGGGTTGGTGAGTCACGGTGGCACGTGTACATGGATGAGGTCACGGGGACGTGACTTGACCCACTGGGGGAAAAGCATGCGCATCTAGGGTAGCACATGGTAAGGGAGGGCTTAACTCGATCCATTGGGGAAGGAGGTATGCACACACGGAGGGGGCATGCACGAAGAGGGTGAGGCTCTAGGCTCGGTGCATTAGGCCTTGGCTTGGTGCGAGAGGCTAGGCCTGGCACGAGGGTGAACGAGGGTAACAACCCGGGTTCGAGCTCGGGGCAAAGAATGGATTGGCCCAGCTCATAGAGAAGGAGGCATGCGAGGGTGCACACGGAAGCTAGTGGGGCAGCACGCGTGCGTGACACACATGACAGGAATGCATGTGGTGGCTGGGTGGGAGAGACGCGCGTGTGATGCGCACAAGAGAGGAGTGCGTGTAGCGGCTGCGCAGGGAGACGCGCACGAGAGAGGAGCACGTGAGACGGCTGCATAGGGGAGACGAGCCTTCGGGCTTGTCTCGGGCTCTTGGCCCGGCTTGGCCCAGTTCGGGATGAAGGATTGTGCAGCCGGCGGCTGCTAAGGGGCCTCAAGCTCGGGCTCGGGCTCACAGCCCAGCCCAGCTTGTCTATGTGACAACGGGGTGGGCAAGCGGCTGCTGCGTAGGGGCCTCGGGCTCAGGCTCGAGCTCACAGCCCGCTTGTCCCATCTGCGTGACAAAGGGGTGCGTAAGGAGCGGCTGCGATGGGACCTTGGGCTCGGGCACACGGCCCAACCCGACCCGTCTGCTTGCCTAAGAGGGAAAGAAAGATAAAATAGTCTGTTGGGCCCTATTTGTGCTCAAAGACTCGAAATTGAAGCTCATTTTGGACGGAAAGGTGACCCTCCCTGACCGGCAATTGTTTTTGCACGTTCTGACACCGATTTCGCACAATTCCGACACCGTTTGACCCCTTTTGACCGTTTTGCCCTTGACCCATTTTTGTTTTAACAAAGGGGTCTAAGGTCAGTTGGGTCTTTTTGCTTTTTGTTTTCGTAAAACATCCATTTTCTTTCCTGCTAATGACCCAAAAAGCATCATAGATGTGGGCGGAATATGGACTTTGTGAGGGAGAAAAATGGAAAGGGAAAAGGTAACTTTATGAGGTGGGGTATAAAAAGGCTTGAGGGCCCATCATTTGCGTCGTTGGTCTCATTTGAAAGAATTTAGAGCGGGAAATCGTGAGGGAGAATTTGGGGAGGAAGCCAAGCTGGGTGGAGCGCAGGTGGTCATGGAGGGGCATGGAGCGCAGGTGGTCAAGGTACCTCGCACATACATTTTCTTCATGCTGATGGCCGAGATATATGGCACCCGAGAGTTTGGTGAGTATCCTTTCGTTCTTCATGCTTTCTTTTCCATGCTTTTTTTTACTGCTTATCTTAGCATAATTAAATGCCATTTGTTAGCACTTAAAAGAGTCTTTTTGTGCATTCTTGCATTGTTATGCATCTTTATGTATTTTGGATACTTAATTAGCACTTGCACATTTAAAATGCCTTTTGAGCCTTTAAAATGATTTTTTGGGATTTTAAGTACCTTGTGAACATTTTGGGCACTTTCTTTTAAGCATCTTAAGTGCCTTTTGAGCCTTTTTAGCATTTAAAGAATTTTTTAGTGCTTTTTAAGCACTTTTGATGCATTTTAGGCATTTTTTATGCTTTTCTAAGCATTTTGCATGGATTTTACCTTATTGGAAGGGTGATCTGCCGGGGTTCGTCTGGTTTGGGTGCGTCCCACAGTTCAGTTCCTTGGGCATCCTCTGGGGCGTCTTGACTCCTTTGGGCTCGTTTTTTGTCAAAAGTCTAGTTCATAGGGGAGATGCTGCCGAATTTTTGCTAGGCCCTTATCTTCTTTTATTTTGACTCTTCTTTGAATTCTTGCGTAATTTTCCCAAACCAGGCGAGCTGGTTTGGTAAAAAGTCTTCCCAAACCGTCGGTAAAAAATCTTCCCAAACCAGGCGAGCTGGGGATTGCCACCTTTACTGGTGCTTGTTTAGTAAGAGGGGAGCTCGTATTGTCACACCCCAAGTTTTTATATCATTAAAGTACTTGAGATGAGATAGTCAATCTTAAAGAACTAAACCAATTTAAGATTTTCACCATATATTGTATCAAAAGAAATTTTTATTATTCAGGAACTTTCAAAATTGTATTTTACAACTTATGAGGATCTTTACATACATACAACTTTGATAGACAAAAGTTGGAAAGGCTAATCTATCCATAACTATAAACTTCTTCAAAGCTACTCCAGCTATACACTCGGACAAGGAGACTGTAATTACTCTGAAAACTTTCACAATACCTTGATGTGTTTGGCTATTCAGTAAGTGACCATCATTATCCTTAAAAAAATCATGATTGGAAAGTGTAAATATTTTCTAAAAGAATGCATAACATGAAGAAGAACAAACATGGAGAAAATATTCAAATTCAGAAACACATAATTTAGCATAATTCAGAAGATTTGAATGTATACTCAACCAGTATATATATAATTCCTTTAACAGAAATACTGAGTTTAACATAATACAAAGGACTTCACAAAATACCCTACTAGTGTCCCAAGTAGGTCATCTATATACCCCACCAGCATCCTGGATGGGTCCAATCATATCTCACCGATGTACCGGATGAGTCCACTTAAACACATGATTCATAACAAGATCAACAATAGTCTAACATTTTTGCAATTAAGTATCAACTAGAATCAAATAAACATTCACAAAAACATAAGTCCTGGAGTAGAAGCACTAACCTCAGGTCCTAGATCTCGGTCCAAGGTTAGAACTTCTACTATCCCACAAGAAGAAGCACCACCATCGGGTAAATCCGTTAGGTAGTATCTCACACACGTACACAGTCCCAACACGCTTTGGGGCTTTTGATAGGCACTGACCTTGCAAGACACGGCCCTCTCATTGCCATAATGGCGAGAGAGCGTTACACTACCAAAGGAGTCCCAATGAGTAGAGCCTAACACATAATCTTCGGAGTACGACCTCCCAAACGCAATCCACTCCTAACTCTCATCCTATCATATAAAGTCAGGATAAGTCACAGCTGCCGGTGCAAATATCTCATCAGATCATAATAGACGCATGTTTCCATGTGCTCATATCTTATCACAAGTATATTGCCATGCACACATATCTTATCAGAAGCATGTTGCCATGCACACATATCTTACCAGAAGCATGTTGTCATACACACATATTTTATCAAAAACATCCTGCTATGCACACATATCTTATCAGAAGCATGTTGCGATGCACACATATCTTATCAGAGGCATGTTGTCATTATTACAGCTAAATACAAAATTAGGTAAAATTTACAATTTTGGCATATTATAATTAAAGCAGAAATATTTTTGAGAAGTCACTTACTTGAGCAATCCTTTCAGTAAGTGACTTCATTGTCAAGTAAGTGACTTCATTTACCGGGTGATGGCCTTATCGCTGCCAGACAGTACGACATGCCTGGTTGACAGAGAGTCCTAGCCCCCTTGTTTATACTGATCCTGTAAAGGGCCTTCTATGAGAGAGAGAAAGCATAATGAGAAAGAGACCTTTTAAATTATTACACCTCATGTAAGAGATGTCTTATAGCCTTTAATGAGAGAGTATTGGATTGCCACCTCATGTTCCATATACATAAGCAGGGAATATTGAATTGCCAACGTAGGTGGTTGTACCCACCTTTTAAGGTTCAAACGTTTGTAAAAGCTGGTGGACCTAAGGTCCACACTAGCAAAATAGACCAACACAACTTTTAAGTGGTTTTGAGACACTTTATCTTCAACAAAAAGCTAACTATACTGCATATTTTAAATAACAAGACCTCCTTCCAAACATATCAGGAAAGCTAAAAAGAATGGTCCATACGGTGTATTCTTGACACAATGAACTATCACTCAAATCTATTTCTTTATATAGGTATTTTGTTTTATTTTTATATTATTATTATTATTATTTTTATTACTATTACTATTATGATTACTTTTACTATACTATTACTATTACTATTACTATTACTATTATTATTACTATTATTATTATTATTATTTTTCCGTTTCAAAAAATATTGGGATGTCACATTCTCCCCCCTTATAGAAATTTAGTCCTCTAAATTTTTCGTAACTGATTGTTGAAAAAGAAGGGGCATTTTTTATTTTTTTTTTGGATCTCATCTTCTCGTTCGTAGGTGGATTCTTCCCTCGAATGGTATTGCCACAATACACATACTAGAGGAATCTCCTTTTTACGTACCATCTACAACCTCCTATCCAATATCTGAATTGGTTGCTTAATGAAGGTTAGGTCCCCTCTAATCGGTATAGGCTCATATTTATGAACATAGGGTAAGTCGGGCTTATACTTTTGCAATAAAGATATATGGAAGACATTATGGATGTTAGCCAACTCGGATGGTAAGGAAAGTCTATATGTCACGCTTTTGACCTTCTCCGGGATTTTAAGGTGTTTGATGCCCTTTGTTGGTGACACAAACACCTTAAAATCTATATGTCACGCTTTTCCCTTCCTTGCCGAACCTCATGATGCCCTTTGTTGGTCACACTTTTAGGAAGATTCGATCACCCATCGCGAATTCCAGGTCTCTCCTTCGATTACAGGTGTAACTCTTCTATCGACTTGGGGTTGTCTTACGCCTTTTTCGAATCAATGCTATCTTATTGGAGGTCACTTGGATGATTTTCTACCCCAAAATCCTTCTCTCACCAATCTCATCGCAACTGATGGGTGACTTGCATTTCTTTCTATATGGAGCTTCATATGGTGCCATCTGAATACTAGCATGAAAATTGTTATTATAGGAAATTCAATCAAGGGTAAATGATCATCCAGTTTCCTTTAAAGTTCGTGAAACAGACCCATAACATATCTTTCATGGTACAAATGGTTCTCTCCGATCGTCCATCAGCCTGGGGGTAAAAGGCTGTGCTGATGGTGAGTCTCATCTCTAGGAATGATTGCAGCCTAATCTAAAATCTCAAGGTAAAACGAGTGTTCGTGTTTGACACAATACCGACCAGAACTCCATACAGCCTCACTATCTATTTGATGTAGAACTGAACCAGTCGGTCCAAAGTATAGGTCGTGCAGATCGGTAAGAAGTGGGTAGTTTTGTCAGCCGATTGGTTAGATGCCTCGATCTCACCCTTCGAGTCGGGATGATTTGATGGCATGGTTTCAGGTTCGAGATGGACCCGGGACTAGAGACCGCTCTCTCGGAAACCACATAAGGATGACGCAGGCAGAAATACTAACCTGTGAGAGAGGAATTGAGTCGTGAGGTGAGACTTACCTCACATACGTCCGTGACACGCTCAGGCTAACTCATATGGGTGCCCTCTTAGATCACATTGAATGCCCCTTTAGCCTATGGCCGGTTCAAAATCATCTCCCTGGGCTTATTTCTTCTAACCTGTGACTACACACACACATTAGAGTACAGACAAATGGGTTTGAGGACCCACCTTGTCATAGGGTGAGCGCACATGTGCGTGTGTACTCAAAGAAAAATGGAAAATAATATGATGGAGTCCACGTCAATTCGACAGACTTATGACGTCTCCTTGACTAGGGACTCTTAGTACATATCTTATAGTAAAGAAAGAAAGAAAAGGGGTGAGATAGAGAGAGTGAAAGAGAAGAAAAGAAGAAAGAAAGAAGAATTTGAAGACCAATATGCTTTTCACCTAGTAGTCTAAAGAAAAGAAAGGGAAAGAAATTGAAGGCTGGTCTGTTCACTCAGCACTCCAAAGGTAATGTATATTTTGGAAAAGAAGGAGAAAAGGAAGAAAAAGAATGAAGGCTAATATGTCTTTCAATTAGTCCTCCAGAGAAAATTTTTATTTTAAAGAGAAAAGAGAGACGAAGCCTGGTTTGGCTTTCACTTAAAGCTTCGGAGATAAAATGTATTTTTGAGAAGAGAGAAAGAGGAACAAAGGTTGGTTTGTTTTTCACCTAGATCCTTCAAAGATGGAGAAAAAGAAGTATTTTCTTTAGAGAGAGGAAGAAGAAAAGAGATGAGAGAAGGTGAAAGTGAGAGAAGAAGTTTGACTGGACGGTTAGATTGTCACAGTGGCAAGACCCACACAGCGGCTAGTCTGGCGCAGCAGATAGACGGGCATGGTAACTAGACCTGCAAGATTGTTAGCCTGCTCCACGACGAGACTGGCACGGGGACTGGTCTGGTGCAGCGACTGGTCTCACACGACAGTTAGATGGGCACAGTAACTAGACCGGCACGACGGTGACAAACTAGCATGACAGCACAAGATGTAGCCTGCCCTCTG